TGTATTAATAATATACCTAATAATTCAATTCAATATAATATACCTAAGTTTTAATGAGGTGTAGGAATTGTAAAAAAATAAAGAATGTATTAATTTTTTTATATTGCATACATAATAAATCACACATTCGTTTATAAGTCAATATGAAAAATTAGATAAATTTGCATAGATTGCTAGATAACAGCAGATAATAAATTATTATTTATAGATAGGTTATAATGGAGTCTAATTTGTTATGAATAAATTAATTGGTCATTTGAAAAATTACTAGAATTACAATGAATATTAGACATTATTAAGTGTATTTGTTAAGGTAATTTTTATAAATAAAAAAATATTTTATAGGTAGGTATTTATAGGTTCAATTATGTTTGCCTTCACTTGGTGCACTTTTATTTATTATTAGATTTTTGGATTTCAGAAGTAGAAAAACTAATGAAATATACCACTTTTAGATGGCGTATCAAAATAATATATTTATATAATAGATTTTGAAAATCTTAAGCCACACCTTTAGAAATGCAAGTGAAAACCGCATTTAATTTGGCGCAGAACTTTTCGTGACAGTCAGACAGTTAAAATTAAAAAAAATATATATATATTGTTTTGGCTTTTGCTTTTATTAAAATCCCTTGTATTATTTTTTCTTAAATATCTCCCATGTACAGACATCGTCAAATTATAAATTTATTACTTTAGTATAAGATATTAAAGAAATATACGAATACACAAATAAGTAGTCAGAAATGTTTTTATGTGCATTATAGAAGGAGGTCGATATGTATTGTAATTTAATTCATTTTGGAATGTTTTTTTTATGTGAGTGTATACATATATTTAGTGAACCTTATAGATTTATCAATACATTCACTAAAGACTATAAAACATCAATACATTGATAAAAATGCTATAACTATATAATAAATCATGTTATGATTCAAGCTCCTTTTTTGGCAGAGCATAACCACTCTTATCGTATTTACATTTTTACATTAAATATAACTCTACGTACTCAATTCAAACTAATAGATTCATTTTAAGGCATAATTTTATAAAAAAACAAACCTGACTGATTTAACACCATTCGGTGTTAAGCCTGCCAAATGTACTCGTATATTGACACTGTGAATTAATAGAAAAAAAAAAAAATAAATAAATAAAACCTGTGCAAAATTAATACGGGATCAACACAAGATCATTAAAAATAGTACAAAATTGTAAAAGATACCGCGTATCATATAATACGGTTGAATTTTATAAGTATTTATCTTTTTTGTTGATAACAGAATAGGAAATCTCACTTAGGCTAAACATAGTAAATACGTAACAAAATTAAATTAGTAACGTAATCGTAGAGAATTGGAGACATAAGAATCTATTATGTACATGTTTTGTTTGTTAGCTGTACACCTGGATAGCGTGTCTGGCTCTCATTATATGACGTGTGTCAAAATTAGAGCCTGACCTCTAGCTGCCGAGGGAATTTAAATTACACGACTCGGCTTCATACAAATCTCCGCCACACGACGATAATTTGCGTTTCAATTTGACAGCCGCAATTGTTTACCATAATGCGAGTATGGGGTAGATATTAATACGGTTTATTACTTTAGAAATTAGTGGTCATAAATAATTTTATGATAACACTGTTGAATGCTCTTTGGAATAAAGTATGATTATAGAGAATTTAGTTCTTTACAGTTTTTGTTTTTAAAGTCAACTTTTGTAATGATTAGTTTAAAATATTTTGGACGAACTATAGCAGTATTGTGAATAATAAAAATTACGTTAACAGCCATTTTTTGTTTGGTTTTCTAATTTCCTATCTACCTAATTTACCTACACGAATGTTTCTTTTCCTCTGAAGAATTGTAAAGGACCACACACCAGCTATTAAGTTAAAAGTTAAAACTTTAATTGTTTATTATGTCTTTTTATTCCTATATATATATATATATATATATATATATATATATATATATATATATATTTAATTTAAGACTTATTTAAAGAATTTTCTTATTGGAAGTGCCTATTATGTTTTTTTTTTGCAAAGAAGTGTATGTAAATGATATTTATAAAATAGATATATAAAACATAATATCTTAATGTCATTTCTGATTTTTAGATTGTGGTTTTTCACCAGGTATTCCAATCATATATTTATATACACGATTTTCAAAGATTACATTAAAAGTAATTTAACGTGTCACAATAAATATAATAGTATAATATAAATATAATTATATAGCCAGTTTTGCAAAAGATTATATTATATCAACATCTAAAGACAACTAAAATTATGCATTTATAATAACTTAAGAATAAATGAAGTGTTATTGCACGTAACGAGCTTTTAATGTGTGTCTGTCTGTTGTTTCTTCATCGCTATTCGTTCTTCGTGATTTGATTATAGCAGGAACTTAGATCTCATTTTATATCTAAAGCAGAATTGTCTTTGATTTATAGACCATTCTATTCATAATAAAGCTATTTGTTTTCACTTGGTTAGTTATGTCTCTTATTATTTTAACAACGAAACACAGCTTTTCTCATAAGTATCTTTCCTATAAGTATTAATCTGGGATTTTTTTGTTTGAGTAACAAATATCCAATATTTATAAAAATTTACATTTATTATGAAGTAACTTTTACTTGCGACTTCGTCTGCGTGATTAGAATATGTTTAGAGACTAGTATGAAAAGTAGTCTATGTATTTGTCCATTTTACATAGTACATGTTTGCATGTAAAATACACATGTTATAGTGGTTGGTGAAATCAATAATGATGCTAAGAGGTAATAAACAAACTCACATTCACATTTGTAATATTAGTTAGGATGTAAAAAAGATTGGAGAATAGGAAAGAGGATAATAAATACGTAGCTTTTTATTTTATTGTAACATGCATAATCGTCCTGCTAGAAATGTTGCTCAGTATAACTAAATAAAAAACTTAAAATGAAAGATATCATGTTATACAAAATTGCTCTGATTTGCGCGATTTAAAGCTGGAAAATAGGTAGAATTCCTAAGAAAATTTCTCTTACACGGTCATTTGAGCGATTATATCGGTTCATGTTTGCGTGCGCTCTTACATGCAAAGTAGTATACGAAGTTCATATGATTATAGAATTAGAATAACTAAAACTGTTCACTTGGACGTCGTTTTTTAGGACCTTGGCTATAGTTACAGTAACTACTGTAGAAATTGTGGTAATTTGGGATTTGATGGAATAAAAGTTTTTCATCTTATGATATTTTATTAGAGTAACGCTGGAATACAATTTTAAAATAGAATTTTGTTGTATAGTTGTACCAGCTATTAACTGTCCACTGCTGAACATAGTCTCCCCCATAAGTGGGGTTTTACCAGTAGTTGCTACACTTGGCAGGCGGGTTGACAAGCGCAGTTTTGCTTTTGGTGAAAGAGGGATGCTGATACCCATCCCTCTACCATAAGCTTCTTTAGTCGCCTCTTACCACACCCACGGAAAAGAAAGGGGTGGCCTATTTTGTGCCGGAATCTACACGGCTATTGTTGTATTACAAATATGTATATATATAATTTAATAGTTTTTTTTATATCAAATTAAAAACTAGTGTATGAATACGTTTAAAGTGCATTTTAACATGTGTATAAAAATGTTGCTATAATTCCTACTAATATGACACTACAAGTAGTAAAATATTACTACTTGTAGTGATTATAATTTAATAAAATTTAGTGATAGAAAGTCGTACAATGGCCAAGTTGTAGTGATTTATACATCCGAATTTGCCTACCTGCTCGATTTATATGAGATCACAAAATATATGAGACGTGTATATTGTATAAATCAGCCATAATTGCTTTTTTGGAATTAATTAAGTTAAAATACAAATTACTTTTAAACATGAACAATTTAGGTCTTTAAAATTATTTATTAGCGACTAACATAGGCCATATATTTTGTGTGAAAATTCTGTGTGAAGCCAGGCCGGATCTTTAGTGTAATATAAAAAATAGGAAATGAATTAATACATGTAATTGTAATTAATTAGCTAAATAAAATAAATTACATAAATTGATTGAATAATTAAATTAAATGAATAAACTAAATTCTTAAATTTGCCATATATTTTATGGGAAGTGAGCAGTAGCGTAACATGTTACTAGATAGGTACATCCAGGTAGGTACCTGTAGTAGCCGACTAATCTCAGCCTGAGGTCAAGCCGTGTTGTAGCTCCACGGCTCTCCACGTTTATTATAATAAGCCCCTGGTAGCCATTATAAAGTTTACCCATCGCCCTTTATGTCTTGCTCCGCTAATATTATGTGCAATAGGTAACGGAACATAAAATGAAGAATGAAGATAGATTTATGTTTTTTATAATGTCTTTAAAGTGATTAAAGCGGAAAATTTATTGTTTTTTTTTTTGAAAATTCAAATATAAAATACAAAGATAGGAATGAGTCATTCCTGTGTAACGAAATATATATATATATATATATATATATATATATATATATATATATATATATATATATATATATATATATATATATATATATATTTAGTATTGCATATTATGACATGTTCTAAAAGATTAAACAATTTACAAAATTTAAATTTGATATCACATTTCAGTTTTGTATAGTAATAAATCAGATATTACAGGGTACAGAGGAATAACACACGAGTCCTTAGAAATGGCAACACATGGGGGGTATCATGGGCGAAACAGTTTACCCTGTTATGTCCATAGTACTGCTCATGACTCATAGTACTGCTATAGGCGACTACTACTATCCATCAGATGGGCCGTCAGCTTGTTTGCCATTCTAACTTAGAATAAAAAAAAAGCTTAAGGTGTGGAGGGGATTATTTCGGCGAACATTATCTAACATCTTTACCTCTTATATATGTTATGTTACTCTGTATGAATCTTCTTTGTAAGTGTAACAATGTTTAATAAACAATTATTGTTATTACGTCTTATGTGTTGTAAACTTACCTATTAGCGCTTCGATGTGGTAGTTGGGTATAATCTCATTTGCGGTAGACAGCTTGGCGGCGTTTTTCTTACACTGCAAACAATAATATTCATCAGTCGACCTTAATTCGTAAGAGAAATTTGGTAGGATTTGATGGCAAATAAAGCGGCTTGTTTGGGCTCATAATGACAGTGATTGACGAAACAGATAATAACGGTTGTTAACAAATAATAAGACGAAGTTGCGAGAAGTTAATTTCATCGCCATCCGATTCGTGGTTGCGCAACCCGTTGCTCCAGAAGTCACCAAATATTGTTGAATTACAAAAGTCACCGGTGAACAATTATTTCATGGATTTATTATTGCAGAATCGATAGTGAATTGGTCGCATCGTGACGCAGTCCTGCTCAGCTCTCATTCTAGAAATCGGTCATCGAGAATTAATTGCGTGATCTTTGAACCGTTGCCAAATGTTGGTGAGTTAGTTGCCGTACTGTAACTTAGCTGAGGGTCCTATTTGAATAAATGATTCATTATTGAGCGCATAGTTTGTTTGATTGTAATATAAAATACAATTCAATGCAATATAGAAAAAAAATAGGTATCAATGAATAATCCATAAAATTTTTTAATAAAGATTTTCATCCAAAATATCTTATTGCGATTATAAATAAATTTAGATTGTAATAATAAGTCAACTACAAATATTTTATTTTATTTATTTTATGGCTTAGATATAATATTTAAACAATATTTAAATTTAGTTCATAAATGAAGCAATCACAATTCTTTACTAATACGTAAGGATTTATATATACATATTATATTGCTTGTGCATAAATTGGTATTTTTTTACTTTCCTACAACCTATATTGAAAGAGATTTTCTTCTTTTGCACTACTATGACAAAACACCCTACTAATTAAAATAGATTTGTAGAACGTTTTAGTTTTTATAAATAAGGGGATTATTCTGCCATCATATGGATATGGTATACCTTGTGAAAGTAAACTTTTAACTGTAAGACTAATAAGATATACGTACGTGTACTGTATTTATGACTAAAACAAATCGAGACCTCTTTACTAGTTTAGGGACCATCCGGGGCCCTTAGTCATTTTACAGTTAAAATTACAAAATCTTTAACAATAAAACTAAAATTTTTATCAATATTTGTACAAACAATATAAAATACTGATGTAAGCATACAATATTACGTGACTGCTACACTTTTAAAGGTAAAATTAATGGGGCAATAACTTTTTAGTTAACGGTCGAGTTTATTTGCTCGTAAATTAAATAGGTAGGTACATTGCAAAATTGATATTGTACCTTATTGTTTCCTTGAAGATTTAGTGCACATCGTTAATGGGATATAGAGGAATACTGAATGAAAGGGGTTATTTTATTATCATTCGTATTGCAGTGCTGCATTTCTCTAATTCTCTATAATGCCTCCGAAAACACCCACCGTGGTGATCATCATCATTATGTCAGCGGATAATTGTCCTTTGCTGAACATAGGCCTCCCTCTATTAGGGAGCTTTTACAGTAGTTGCTACGTTTGGTAGGCGGATTGACAACTGCAGTTAGGCTTTAGTGATGTTTAAAGGTGAACGTTGCTGCCAATCCCTTGACTATTAGGTTCCCTTGGTCGCCTCTTATGACACCCACGGGAAAGGAAGGGGTGGCCCATTGTATGGGTAGTTATAGTCGTGAGTATTCTTACTAATACGAGTATTATAAATGTGAAAGTGAGTTTGTTTATTTGTTTGTTCCCTTGTAGTCTTAAGGATCAGATAAGGCCAATAGGTAGGAATTTTAGTATATACATATTATGTGGGACGGAAAAGGATGTAGGCTACTTTTTATTCCGGTCGGTGAATATGTACCGGTTACGTGGATATAGTATATAGTGGATATAGGATAGTACTGGGTAAAATTTTGTATTTATATGAATCTAGTTTCTACCTATGATTGAGTGATAAGTAAAGTCACTTTCAGGTTTATAATATTAGGATTATATTATTTAAACAGGGAATTGATTACATTTATACAGAAAATAAAAATAAAAAAAATAACACAAAAACGTTAAATTTATAATTTATTAAATTATAAGTGATATAATTTGTAACAAAACAAAGACAAAGGTGTTATGTGGTAACTGAGTAAGGTAATAAACATAAAAAAGTGTATTAAAATATCAGATTAATTAGTGAAACGATGCTTATATCACAAAACACGTTCAATTTGATTGGAGATTATAGAAAATCGTATTTATGAAGTAAACTGATCCGTATATGACACTAGCTGTATTTTGCAGCTTTGCCTGAGTGTATCAGCATATAAAGTTCTTATGATAATGGTTAACCTAGCCGCGTACCAAATTAATTCAAATCTGTTTAGCCGGTTAAACTTGATTGATTAACAAACATGCATGTAAATTAAATATTTGAAGGTTTACAGGTAATCTAGATTAATTGGGATCAATATCAAACTTAGTATAATAAAAACATAAATCCCTTGATGATCTGAGTTTCATTTCACAAATATTCTATATGTATCGAATCTATATTCTATAATAACTCTATCTCGCGGCTTCGCTTGCGGGATTTTGGACATAAAGTGTTATATGTTATAAGTATGGATTTAATCTACATATACACCAAATTTCATTCAAATTCGTTTAGTAGTTTTTGTGAGAAAGAGTAACAAATATCCATCCATTCATTTCCACTTATAAGCTTTCGCACATTTAAAATTGATAGGATAATCTTTATATGTTTATGTAACGTGTTTTCTATTGAGGTTTTTCTTAGAGATTAAATTCCCTAACATAAATATATGCATCTTCACGTTAAGTCCATAGCGGAGTAGACAAAGAGAAGTGAGTGCTGCTGAAAATCTGCGTCATGTTTATTTTTATTATTATTTATTCTTTATTGTACAAAAAAAATTACAAACATATAATTTATATTAAATAAAGAGGTACAACAGGCGAGCTTAACTCTGTAAGAGTTCTCTTCCAGAAAACCCTACTATTAAATATTTAGTTTCAATTGTAGTTATTGTGAAGTTGTTGTTGCAATTCGAGTAATAAATATATAAGCGCATTTTTTATATAATACATAGAAGATTTGTTTATTTAATTTGGTCCAAACAACTTCTGTTATCATTAATACATTGTACCAAAAACTTTACCTGTGAATATTTAAACCAACAAAATATCCACAATGTTTTACATGGTAATATATATTATATTACTTAGACTATGGCAATTGATTTATTATTCTGTATCGGCGTGTTTCTTGTGACACCATGCAATCAATCGTTTACTTTAGGGCACGTCAATTGAAGTTTACCTCCAAAGATAGAAATCAGTACTTTATTCTCACCTAGTATCTCATTTTCCGTCAGCTCATGATTTTGCTCACATTCTTGGCTATCGTAGAATTCCAAGATCAAATGAATTGCAAATAAAAAAAAATCAACTTACCTTATAAGGCAATATAATATATTATTTATAGAATAAGAAGTAAGCTTCCACTGGATTATATTTTAAGCTTTTACAAGTTTATATTTTATATATTTACTGCCCTGTATTATCAATCGATAAAATTCTGTATTACTAATTTGAATAATTGAATGAATAATTTTAAAGATATTTATGAGATTCTGAATTATATCGGAAATATTTTAAATACACAATAGGGACATACTGTAATGTCAAAAGCCTTTACAGATATGTCCCGATTGTGTATTTAAAATATGTATAAACAACACGAAAGTTTAAAAATAACTATATCGGAAATATATATTGGAATAGACTATGTTATCATACATTAACACAGGATAATATTTGTCCGTAATTAATTATAATATTAGTATCATCGTAATTATTATATCAGTCGTTTACTATGCACTGCTAAACATGGGCCTTCCCCAAAATGGGGTTTTGCAAGTAGTTGCCACGGTTGGCAGGCGGATTGGCAACCCTAGTTAGGCTTTGGTGATATTTTAAGAGGAGTGCTACTGCCCATCCTTCGACCATTAAGTTCTTTTAGTCGCCTCTTATGACTTCCACGGGAAAGGAAGGGGTAACACGACAATAGCTAGTATAGGTAATGGAATTTCCAAATTTTGTACCTTAGATCTGTAAACACAAAAGGCGTAGCTATCTAGTTTGTATAATCGATAATCTGGCTCTGACAGTGATGAAATTACAGCTCGCGCCGGTGATGTATTTATGCGCATAGGCGGAAAATAATTTCTTTATAGCCATGGAATCGATTAGAGCGCAGTTTACGATGCGCGCGCGCCGCGCGGCCGGTGTCAGCTTTATTGCTGTACTGTAGACATTGCGTATCTGCTGTACTTACGTGACTTACGATTAATAAGTACTACGGATATAGTTTTAGTTCTAGAGCAATTTATATAAGATCCACTATATTTATTTCCTCTAGTTTCTATGACTTAGGTATGGTTAGGCATAATTGATTTTTAATATAGTATGCAAAGACAAACAAGCTGGTAGTACCCTTGGTGGAAAATGGTAACATGAAATAGGTATGATTAGTATCATGGACATTATAGAATGTACTACGTACATGTCAATCTCAAAGATTCTTTAGTAGTAACAGTGCAAATATCTTTATTAAATCATCTTTATTTAAATAGACTTGTTTATAAGTTTTGATTCTACTAACGAGGTTGGAATGTTTCTGAATCTGATGAGAAAATTGTGCAAGATAGTCTACAGTTACTCTTTTAAATAAATTTATAATGTTAACAGATCATTCATTATGTGTATTTATACGTACTATGTTTAAAATTACATGGTCATTTAAAGCTCGTTCATGATCTACTAACACGTTTTTCCTTAACCAAAGCCCGGTGTGTCAAAAACGTGTAGATTTTACAATACTACCATTTTTTTTATAAAGGTCACTGCAAAAGGTCTTAATTATAATAAAAGTAGTCAGAAATACAAGTTGTATTTTAATATGAATGATATAGTCTATCAAACGAACAATATGCATGTAAAAAAAAGTAACATACAAATAAAAATACGAACGGGTACAACTACTCTTTTC